CCGTGGTCGCCAGCATTCTCACGCGGCCGTTCTTCGGCTCTGCCTGCCACTGGTGAGCGAGGTTCTCCGCGCAGCCATCCGCCGTGCAGCCAGCAGGGCCCCAAAGGCCCGAGGGGTCCTGAACGCCCAGCTCGCTCTCGAACTTGAAGGCGCGCAGCGGGGATCCAGTGTGCAGCGCCCCATCGCCCTGGGCGGAGCCAGTCCGGCAGTCCTGGAAGAACATGCCGAGGATCGCCAACCTGGCAAGGCGGCCGTTCGCCACGTCAGCCTCGGGGTCGCTGGACGTCAACTCCGCGAGGGCGAAGTTGCGCGCAGCAGCCGTAATGTGCGCGGACTGGTCCTCGAGGACAGCGGCCGCAGCGAACGCCTGCTCTTCTCGCGCGCGCTGGTCAGGTTGCCCTGAGTGATGATGTTGGGCTACCGCTTTGCTGCTGCCTTCTCGCTCAGCAGCGCCGTTGCCTGCTGTCACTGCCGACGTCTGCTCTTCTCGCACTCGATGATCAGGGCGCTGCAGTGGATGATGCTGGGCTCCAGCTGCACGAACACCATCTCGCTCAGCAGCGCCTTTGTTTGCTGTCGCTGCCAACGCCTACTCTTCTCTCACGCGCTGTTCAGGGCGCTGTAGGTGATGATGTTGGGCTCCAGCTGCACGACCACCATCTCGCTCAGCAACGCCATTGCCTGCTGTCACTGCCAACGCCCGCCCTTCTCGCACCAGCTGTTCCGGACGTGGTAGGCGATGATGTTGGGCTCCAGCTGCACGACCGCCATCGCGCTCAGCAGCGCCACAGTCTGCAACCGCTGCCGACGACTGCTCTTCCCGCACGCGCTGTTCACAGTGACGTGCGTGATGATGTTGGGCTCCAGCTTCACTGCCCAAATCTCGTCCAGCAGCGCCACATCCTGCTGCCACTGCTGGCGCCTGCTCTTCACGCGCGCGCTCTTCACAGCGCCGTAGGTGATGATGTTGGGCTCCAGCTTCGCTGCCACCATCTCGCCCAGCATCGCCGCGACCTGCTGCCACTGCTGCCGCCTGCTCTTCTCGCACGCGCTCTTCACAGTGCCGTTGGTGAAGATGGTGGGCTCCAGCTTCACGTCCAAGGTCTCGCCCGGCAGCGGTGCTGCCTGCTGCCACTGCCGACGCCTGCTCTTCTCGCACACGCTGTTTACCGTGCCAGAGTTGATGAACGTGGGCTTCAGCTTCGCGACTGGGGCCTCGACCAGCAGCGCCACATCCTGCTGCCGCTGCTGCCGCTTGCTCTTCACGCACGCGCTCTTCACAGTGCCGTAGGCGATGATGTTGGGCTCCAGCCTCGCTGCCACAATCTCGCCCAGCAGCGCCACAACCTGCTGCCGCTGCTGCCGCCTGCTCTTCTCGCGCGCGCTCTTCACAGTGCCGTTGGTGAAGATGGCGGGCTCCAGCTTCGCGTCCAGGGACTCGCCCGTCAGCGCCGCGGCCATCTGTCACTGCCCAGGCCTGCCCTTCTCGCACCAGCTGTTCAGGACGAAGTGGGTGATGATGTTGGGCGCCATCTTCACGATCAGCTGCCGCCGCCAGCGGCCCGCCAGAGGCGGCCGCGGCGGCGGCGGCGGCGGCCGCGGCGGGCGCATCGGCGGGCGCGGCGGCCCCCGCGGCCGCGGCGGCCACAGCGGCGGCCTCGCCGCGGCCGGCCGCCGGCACGGCCGCGCGGCCGCGGCGGCGGCGGCGGCCGCGGCGACAGCGCCGCGGCCGCGCCGAGGCCGACAGGGGCCACGCCGGCCGCGGCAACGCCGGGCCACGCCGGGCCACGCGGTGCCGCCGCCGCGGGCCACGCCGGGCCGCGGCGGCAGCAGGCCGGCCGGGCCAGCCGCGGCGGCGGCGCAGCTAGTGGCGGCGCGCCGCTGCCGCCGCCGCCGCGCCGAGCGCGACGCCATGGCCGAACGGGCGGGGGCGCGGAGGGGGGCGACCCCCTCGCACGTCCCCGCGGGCGGGGAGGCCGAGGACCGAGGGGCGGAGGCCCGGCCAGCCGCTGTGGAACCGCTTGAGCCAGAGCGGCTGGAGCTAGGCTACGGAAAGGTGGTGGCGATACGCGAAGCGTCAATATGCCTTCCAAAATCATGGGCAGTCTGACAACTCCAGCTGCTTCCCAGCGGCCGTGGCCTTGCCAAAGAGGCTGACGAGGCAAGGGAGGGAGGGGCGAGGCAGGAGGCGGAGAGAGCGGGGGAAGGAGGCCGCCGCTTTGGCCGTCGGCCAGGGAACGCCGTGCGCTCGCACGACGGAGGCCGCGGCAAGAAGAGGGGGCGTGGGACGGGGGCGGGGATGGGGGGGCCAGGAGGAAAAAAGAGAGGGCGGCCAGGATGGGGCAGGAGGAGGAGGAAGAAGGAGAAGAGGAGGAATAATGAGGAATAGGGGGAGGAGGACGAGGAGGAGGAGGAGGAGGAGGCAGAGGAGGAGGAGGAGGAGGAGAGGAAAGAGACCTCCACTACGACGGTGCCGACGACGACGAAGACGACGGCGACGACGACGACGACGACGACGACGACGACAGCAACGGCGACGATGGGGACGACGACAGAAGACGTGGCCGAGCTCGTCAATCCCGACCATCATTGAGGGCGTGAGGCATGAGTGGGTTAGCTAGTTCTTCCAGTCCCTTTACCTGCCTCCACTCCCTTCCTCCCCTCCTCTCCCTTCTCCTCCTGGGCCCCTCGGCCCTCGGCCTAGATCAACGGAACTAGCTTGGGCATCTCCTCTCGATGGGCCTGCGGGGACAAGCGAATCGCCAAGACAAACCAGTGTTTGTAAACGTAGTAATCTAATACGATTAATAATGATGATAACCATACTGATAACGATACTACTAGCAATAACAATAATAAAAGTACTATTAGTAGTAGTAATCATAATGCTGATACTACTAACACTTACGAATGTTACTACTACTACTACTACTACTACTACTACTACTACTACTACTACTACTACTATTACTACTACTACTACTACTACTACTACTACTACTACTACTACTACTACTTACTACTTACTACTACTACTACTACTACTACTACTACTACTACTACTACTACTACTACTATTACTACTACTACTACTACTACTACTACTAGTAATCACACTACTAACAGTAATAGTAGTACTACTACGATTACTACTACTACTCCTACTACTACTACTACTACTACTACTACTACGAGAATTATAATAATCATGATAATAATAGTAGTAATCATAAGAATACCATTAATACTAATAATAATAATAGTAATAATAATAATAATAAAGAATAATAATATTAATAATACTAATAATAATAATAGAAGAATGATGATAATAACAACAACAATAGTATTATTAATAATGATAATAATAAAATTAATACTAGTAATAATAATAATATAATAGTAATAGTGATCAAAATACTACGACACAATTCATGAAGGTTGCGCTTTGCGCTAGCGGCACTGCGCGCGCGAACACCAAGGCGCCGCTGGGCCTCTCACTCCAACATCGTGCCGCCGCGCTCGCAGAGCTGAGCCATGGCGCCCAGCGGTGGGCGCCCTGGGCCGACGGTGCACCCGCGCGGGCCGCGGTGGCAGAAAGGAGGGCGGCAAAGAGGGAGGGACAGAAGCACGACTATACATACATAGATATTCGACATTGGCATGAAAGAGACAGAGACATAAAGAAACATATAGATATAGAGAGAGAGATAATAAATCATCCCGGCAAAGCAACCTAACAGCGATGTGTAGAAGCATATATGAAAGCATTCCCCTTAAGATTCATATGAAAATCCAGTTGTAGAATTCTGCTGTTCTCGCAGTCGTAGTCGCATTCGCGATGACAGTCGCAGCGGCAACGGCAGTCGCAGTCACAGCCTCAGCCTCAGCCTGCCTCAGCCTCAGCCTCAGCCTGCCTCAGCCTCAGCCTGCCTCAGCCTCAGCCTCAGCCTGCTTCAGCCTCAGCCTCAGTCTGCTTCAGCCTCGGCCTCAGCCTCAGCCTGCCTCAGCCTCAGCCTGCATCAGCCTCAGCCTCAGCCTCAGCCTGCCTCAGCATCAGCCTGCTTCAGCCTCAGCCTCAGCCTGCCTCAGCCTCAGCCTCAGTCTGCTTCAGCCTCAGCCTCAGTCTGCCTTCAGCCTCGGCCTCAGCCTCAGCCTGCCTCAGCCTCAGCCTGCCTCGGCCGCAGCATCAGCTTGCCTCAGCATTCAAAATGTGGCCCAGGAGTGGAGTTCTGGGAACTAGAAGAACACGAAGTGGCCTACAGTTGGCTCCGGGCATTCAAAATCATGGCCCGGGAATGGAGTTCTGGGAACTCGAAGAGCACGAAGTGGCCTACAGTTGGCTCCGGGCATCCAAATGTGGCCCGGGAATGGAGTTCTGCGAAGTCGAAGAGCACGAAGTGGCCTACAGTTGGCTCCGGGCATCCAAAATGTGGCCCGGGAATGGAGTTCTGCGAAGTCGAAGAGCACGAAGTGGCCTACAGTTGGCTCCGGGCATCCAAAATGTGGCCCGGGAATGGAGTTCTGGGAAGTCGAAGAGCACGAAGTGGCATACAGTTGGCTCCGGGCATTCAGAATGTGGCCCGGGAGTGGAGTTTGGGAGGTCGAAGAGCACGAAGTGTGTGACTGTTTGCAAAAGCGAGTGCGGCGGCAGCCGCGGCGGCAGCCTGTCCAGGTCCCGCCCAGACCCCCCTGAGGAGTCATGATGTTCTCTTTTGAGACCACTAGAAACCTATCAGCAAGAGCTGTTAGGTAAAAAGAGAAAGAGGGAGAGAGAGCGAGAGAGGAGAGGACAGGAGAGGAGAGAGCAGAGGAGAACATACAGAAACAAATGAAGGAGTGTGCGTGTGTATACAGATGCGTTGTTCTTGTACGGGAATCCTTGGCACGTTTCGGTTTAGGCCGCCCTGTGTTGCAGCATCCAGGCGCAACCACTGTCATCCAGGTCTCTCCGCAACCGCGGCGGCTCAAAGCAAAGATGACCGGCGGGCCTCGGCCCGATGGCCGGGCACGTCGCCGCGCGAGCCCTGGAGTGGGCTCGGGGGCGCCGCGGGGGCCTACCTGGCGCGGTGCCCGACGTGCCCGCCGGTGCCCGACTGCCGGTGCGCCGCGTGCCCGGCGTGCCCGCCGCCTGCGGCCTGTGCCCCCTGCCCAGCGTGCCCGGGCTGCCAAGAGGGGGCGTCGCTGCCCCGCCCTCGCCGGCGTGGCCGCCGGCGGAGAGCTGCCCTGTGCCGCCGGAGGGCGAGCGCGCGGGGCCCGCGGGGCTGGCCCCCGCCTGGGGCCTGTGGGCGGCGCTGGCGCTCGGCGTGGCCGTCGGGGTGGCGCTGGCGGCGGTGCTGCAGGTGGCCTGGAGCGGCTCGAGGTGCTGCTTGAAGCGAGTGGCGAGCCGCAGCGATGGCGCTGGACCCGAGGGTGAAGGAGTGGGCGTTCGTGCCGTACGCAGACGACGAGCATTTGTGGCACCAGAGGCTGGTCCTCGGGCAGGCGGGGTTGTCGGATTCTAATCCTCAGCCCGGACGGGGACGTCTAACCTCAGGAAGGCATTAAGACCCCCCCCCCCCTTTCCGGTGGATTATAACGCCCCCGCGCCCTGGAGCGTTATGGCCGCACCGGAAGACCTGGCTGAGGGGACTCGGGGCCTAGCTAAGGCCTGCCAAGCGCAGATTTGCTCCTGCCAAGCAGTTTAGCAGGGCCAAGCAGGGCTTAGCAAGGCACACAGGAGGGGGAAAAACACACAGGAGGGGGAAAAGCTTAGTAGGGCCGCCGATGGTGGATTTTGTTTTCTGTGTGCGGCGGGTGCTAAGTGTATCGTTCGGCTAAAACTGCCCGCCTGGAATATTGAGAAAACTGGGTGCTAAGAATAACCAAGGGGGGGTTCTTAATGCCTTCCTGAGGTTACGCGGAGGGCTACGGCGACGACAGCTTGGACGTGGCCGCAGTCAGGTACTCAGCGGCCTGGGCGGCGGTGCCGGCTGGGGTGCCCCCTGGCCGCGTTACCGGCTGGGGGGCCCCCTGGCCGCGTCATGCCGCTTCCGCCAGGAGCCGACGACTGCCGAGAGGGCGAGGGCGATGGCGGACGCTCAGGCGGAGTGCCAGCGGATTGCGGCCGTCCGAGGCGACCCGCAGCTGCTGGTGAACCTGGTCTTTCTGAAGCCGCTGGCGGCGGCTGGAGCCCTCGTCCCGGCGGCCGCGCAGCCTGCCCGGATCGGGCCTCTGCAGGGGGCAGCGGCGGCCGCGCCGGCGCGGGCCGCGTGGCGGGCCGCGATGGCGCGTTCAGGTACGGCGACGTCGTGGACCACGCGAGGAGCGCCCTGGCCGTCGGCAACCGCGACGTCCACGTGCTGCCTGACCGGAGCGGGGTCTTCGCGGGTTACGTGGACCCCGCGGACGAGGCCTCCTTCTTAGTCTTCGACCGTGCTGTCGCCGCGGACGCTCGGATCACTCCGATCAGGCGCAACCGCCAGGACCGACGGGGGCGCGCGTGGGCGGAGATGATGGCAGCCATCAAGCAGGAGAGCTTCGGCAGCTTGTGGTGGATTGAGTTCATCAGCCAGGAGCGTAGCGGCCTCCTCGGGCACCACGATCGTTTCAAGACGGCCTGCAGGCTGGTCTGGAACTCGCGGGGCGTCTTCGAGTGCTCGCCCAGGGGCTGCTGGTCGACCAGCTCGACGGGGGCAACTTCCTCATGGTCGAGCACCAGTTCCGGCGGCTCCAGACCATCGGGCCCGGGCACTCGGAGCGCGCGCGGGAGGCCGAGGCCAAGAACTACCAGGGGAAGATGTCCTTGGATGAGCAGCTGGCCCTCGCCGGGACGACGAGGGCCTCGGCCGCGCCGATGGTCTGCCCAGAGCTGCTGGACTACGCGCGGCCCGAGGTGGAGCCGGAGGCGAAGCTGGCCAAGGACTTGAGTGCTGCGCGAGAAGAACGGGAAGCCCTCCGCAAGGGGCCGAAGGGGCAACGACGCCCTCCTCGCGCCGGTCGGGCCCTTCAGGGGCGGGGCCCGACCGCCTTCCTCGCCCCGGGCCAGCTGCCGCGGCTGGCGATGGTCGCGCTGTCCCCCGCGATATCTTTCTGCTGCCCCGCTGGTCCGTCGGCTCCTTCTCGGGCGAGGGGGGCGCCGTCAGCCGGCCAGTGCGGCAGAGGATCGGCGCCCGCGCTGCCGCGGAGCTGGACTGCGACAGGGCCGCGCGGGGCCTCAACGGGATGTTCCGCCGCGCTCCGCAGCCAGAGCTCGGGCAGGGCGCCCGGGTCTCGTCTCGCGCGCGCAGCGCGAGGCCATCGACTTCATCGAGGAGTCTCTGCGAGCCCTGGGGGGCCCCCCCCAGGACTCACCCCCGCAGACGGGGGCGTCGCGCGGCGCGCTGGTGCGACGTGGACTCTGCCACGCTCGGGCCTTGCCGCCCCGACGCGATCTCACTGTCTTCGGTTTCGCATCGACCGGTTGCGCTGGAGATGCCGCGGGGGGGGGGTGCTGCGGGGGCGACGTCGCGCAGGATTTCATCTCTCAGCAATTGCTGCGCACCGAGAGGGCGAAGCTACGGCTGCGGGGCGCGGGGCTGGGGCGGGCGCGCTCTGACCCGGCGCTGCGACGTCGGGGTGCGCGCGAAGATTTCATTGGCACGGTGCGCGGGCGCGGCCTCGCCGATTGCCGAGTCCGGCGCGGAGATGTGGGCGCCTTCTTTGCGGAGAAGAATGATCGCCGATTGAGCGCGGTGATCGACTGCAAGCGAGCCAGCGCCTGGTTCGCGGGGCCCGCGGGAGTCAGCCTCTGCGCCGGGGGCGCCCTCTCGAGGGCGCCGACCTGAGCGGCGCCTTCTACCGCGCGAGCCTGCCCGAACCGCTCAGGGGGCACATCTCCTTAAGGCCAGTGCGGGCGTCTGCGGTGGGGGCGGCGCGCCTCGGCGGGGAGCCTCGCGCCCGCGGCGGCGTGAACTCCCCGCCCGGCTGCGCCCCCGATGGGGCGGGGCTGGGCGCTCTGGCGGAGCCGGCGCGCCCGCGAGCGGATCGCCGTCGAGGCCGGCGCCGCCCCCGCGCGGCGGATCGTGGACAGGTGGGCCCCCCCGCCCTTCGCGCCGGGCGGCCGCTTGGAGTGCGCAGGCAACTTCGCCGTCGGCGCGGGCAAGGGGCGGGCGTCCAGCGTCGTCGACCGGGCGGGTGGTCAACGCGTCGCGGCCCCGCGGGCTCGAGGTGTAGACAGAGGACCGCGCCGGTGAAGGGCTCCAAGAGTCGGAGGCGCTGGGGTGGCGCATCGACCGACGTCGGTGCGCGGTCCGCCCCACGCGCGTTCGGCTCTGGCGCGCCCGCCTCGCCGTCCGCGGCGCCCTCCCCCGCGGGCGGCTGCGCGGCCGCGACCTCGAGAAGCTGCTGGGCCACCTGGTCTCAATCTCGTTGATCGAGCGGGAGGGCGCGCCCCTGTTCTGGAGTTCGTGCGCCTTCGCCCGCAAGTGCCGCGACGCCGAGGCGGCGCCGTGGCCGGCCGTGCGCCGGGAGCTGGGGTACTGGGGCGGCATCTCGCCCTTTCTCTGGCGCAACCTCAAGACGCTGTGGACAGACGAGCTCGTCGTGGTGGGCGCCAGCGAGTGGGGCATCGGGGCCTGCGTCGCTCCTGCTCCTTCCACGCCGGCGCAGCGGCTTTGGCACGTCTGCGAGCGGTGGCGGCGGCGGCGCGGCATGGCCAGCACCGCTCCGCGACGGCGCGCGGGGGCCGCGGCCGCCGCGGCGGCATTGGCGGTGGGCCCCGCCGACGCGGCCCCCTGCGCGCTGGGCGCCGAGCTGGCCGACGACGGGGGCAGCGGGGCTGGAGGTCGGGACTCCGTCGGCGACGCCTTCGACGAGGTGCCGTCCGAGGTCATCGCGCTTCCCTGGTGGACCGTGGGCCGCCACCGCTGGCGGCGGCCCGAGGAGAGCACGCCCATGGCCGAGGCGAGGGCGGCGCTGCACGGCATCCAGCACTTGGCGAGGGCCTCTCGACATCGCGGCCGGCGCGTCGTTGTGCTGGGAGACTCCATGAGCGACGCCGGAGCCGTTGGTCGGTTTCGGAGCGGTTCCTACAAAATGCTGCGCATCCCCCAGGCCATCGGGGCCGCCACCCCGCCACCGCCCTTCACTACCGATGGTTGCCGTCGGAGTGGGGCGCAGCCGACAACCCGTCGAGGGGCAGGTTCGCGCCCTCGGCCCCGCGGCCGCTTCGGGCCGCGGGCCATGCTGCGGCGCGCCCAGGCGCCGGCGGCCTTGGCTTGCGCCAAGGAGGCGGCCGCTGGGTCGGCGTGCATCAAGGCCTCCCCCGCGGACCTGGAGGCCGCCGGCCGCCGGGGCCGCCCCCGCGGTCCAGCCGGCCCGCTCCGCGGGCGGGCGGCCGCGACGTGGGGCGCCGGCGGCGAGCGGCCTGCGCCGGCCGGCTGCTGGCCCCAGCCCGGGGGGCCAGCGGGCAGGAGGCGGCGGCGGGTGGAAGCCGCCGCGGCCACTGCTGGACGCCGACGGGCTCAGGCGGCCCAGCTGCCAGGCCTCAGTGTGCTCGAGGCGGGGTCGGCCACGGCGGCGACGCGGGCGCAGTACTTGGAGGCTTTCGATTCGTTCAAGGCCTGGCTGGGGGCGAGGGGCGACTGCCCGTCGAGCCTCGACTACTACGACGGGCAGCTGGTCCTGCGCCTGGGCGAGCTCTGCCTGGACGGCGAGGGGATCGGGCCGCGGAGAAGCTGTTCGCGTCGGTTTTTTTTTTTTTCCTGGGGCTGAGGCGGCCGGCTCGCCGATTGCCCGCGCGCGGCGCGCTGCGCGGGTTTTGGCGGCTGGCGCCGCCGACGTCACGCACCCCGCTTCCCTTTGAGCTGCGAGCGGCCCAGGTGAACTGCCTCGTGCGCAGCGGGAAGCGGGGGGGGGGGGCGCTGATGCCGCTGCGGCCCAGCTTCGAGCTGTACCTGCGGCCAGGCGAGCCGCGCCACATCCGGGCCACCGACCTCGCGCGCCTGGCCCGCGGATGCCCGGGCCACGACAGCTGGGGCGTCGCTGCGCACGGCCGAGACGGAGGTGCTGTCGAAGACCGCCGAGTACGACGAGGCGCTGCAGCTGGGCCTTCCGCGGCAGGAGCTGCTGGGGCCGACGGTGGGGCGCCTCGTGGCCGCGAGGCCGGGGGGGGGGATTGGCGGCGCCCCGCCGCGCGGGCGGCGCGCGGTGGCGCCGCGGGCGCCCGCGGGAGCGCGCGCCCGCCAGAGCCGCTGCTCTTCGAGGTGACGCAGCTGCAGGTGCCCTCGGCCCTCCGCGACGCCGCCAGGGCGCTGAAGATAGACGGTCGTCTTAGACGAGTGCCTGCCCAACCTCCGCCCGCGCCAGCTGCGGCACAGGGGCGCGTCTCACGACTTCGGCAGCAAGGCGAGGCCCCTCG